CCCACATGACATGATTTTTCACTATTTTGTGATGAAAATTGAACGATTACTGAGGAGTATTTCGATGGCTCTCTGTGTAAACATGAACAAGGCACCAAACGAGAAGAAGAACCTGGATTTACATTGTAACCTGTGGCCTTCGGGGGACTAGTTTCTCATGACTATTTTCGAGCCTCATTGACCCGGAAATCCTTTGCATTTCTCATTTTTCATTATTTCAGTCTTTCCGATTATTTTTTTTGAATGTATTATTTTTCACTTGTCATTTGTTATTTCACAAACAAATTCGTTGATTCACAACCTATCGGGCGTATTAAATCGCGATATAAATATCAATATACTTTTAGGTAAAATATAATACTGCATTTAAAAAATATATTATTCTTAGTTTTTTTTTCAAATTGCCACTTTCTCTGCTCAATAGGTAAGTGGAGAGTTGGATATCTATGGAATATTCTTTCCGGTGAAAATACTCAATAAAGATGCATGGTCACGCCAATTGGCGATTGTACCACTTGAATACTTTCAATCCTCGAAGAAGAAACTACGCTCACCAGCTTTTCTCTTCTCCCCGTCCCCCTCCCCCCATTCTATGTTCTCTCATCCCTTCCCACCCCTAGTTCTCGTTTTTTCACACTTTAAACGAATCTGAATGAGAATATTTCAATCGCTCGAGTGGAATAATAAGGAATTTGCGGTGAATATTAAAGCGTTTCGTATAACGAAGGCGTTTTCCTGGGAAATGTTGACAATATTATTGCGGAAATATACGATAAGCTGTGGTGAAACGAAACTCAAGAGTTTCTCAGGGACTTGGCGGGGAAAACGAGAATGGGGTGGGAGGTGGGAGGAAAGTAAAGGAGAGAATTTAGAGATGAGTGAAGAGGCAAGTCAGCAAAAACCGATACAACGGTTTCCTGATGCCAGTGGTAAGTGCCAGTGGTTGGTGAGAGCAAGAGAGACGAGGTAACAAAATACGAATACGACTTAAACAAGATGAAACGGATGGGGAGACGTACGAAGAAGAAACTTGCATCACATCCGTATACATTTTATGGGTTTCTGCTGTGAGTTTGGTTGAAGAGCTTTCCTCGAATGCTTGTCGCATCTTCCACTCATTCAAACTCCGGGGGGGGGGGGGGG